CGTCGGCACCCCCGCGGCATCCCACGGGACCCCGCGGCATCCCACGGCACCCTGCACCCACGGCACCCTGCGGCATCCCACAGCACCCCACAGCACCTCACAGCACCCTATGGCATCCCATAGCGCCCTGCAGCATCCCGCTGCAACCCATGGCATCCCACAGCATCCCACAGCACCCCACAGCACCCTATGGCATCCCATAGCACCCCGCAGCATCCCGCTGTACCCCATGGCATCCCACAGCATCCCACGGCATCCCACAGCACCCCGTGGCATCCCACTGCACCCCATGGCATCCCACAGCATCCCATGGCATCCCATGGCATCCCACAGCACCCCGTGGCATCCCACGGAACCCCATGGCATCCCACAACACCCTGCACCCACAGTACCCCCACGGCATCCCACAGTACCCTATGGCACCCCATGGCATCCTATAGCACCCCACAGAGTCCCACGGGAACCCCATGGCATCCCACAACACCCTGCACCCACGGTACCCCCACGGCATCCCACAGTACCCTATGGCACCCCATGGCATCCTATAGCACCCCACAGAGTCCCACGGCATCCCACGGCATCCCACAGTGTTCCACAGCACCCCACAGCATCCCATGGCACCCCACAGAACCATGCAGCATCCCACAGCATCCCATGGAACCCCACAGCATCCCACAGCACCCTACACCCATGGCACCCTGCGGCATCCCACAGCATTCTATAGCACCCCATGGCATCCCACGGCTCCCCACGGAACCACGAAGCATCCCATGGCATCCCATAGAACCGCATGGCATCCCACAGCACCCTGCACCCACGGCACCCCGTGGCATCCCACGATGTCCCACAGCATCCCATGGCACCCCGTGGCACCCCATGGTGTCCCACAGCACCCTGCGGTGTCCCATGACACCCTTGGCAACCCACAGCACCCCACATCCACAGCACCCCACGGCATCCCACAGCACCCCACGGCATCCCACAGCATTCCGTGGCACCCCATGGCATCCCACGGCACTCCACATCATCCCATGGCACCCCAGGGCACCCTGTGGTATCCCACAGCACTCCGTGACATCCCACAGCACCCCACGGCACCCCACAGCATCCCACAGCCCCCTGCGGTGTCCCATGGCACCCCATGGTGTCCCACAGCACCCCACGGCACTCCACATCACCCATGGCACCCCAGAGCACCCCGTGGTATCCCACAGCACCCCATGGCACCCCACAGCATCCCACAGCCCTCTACGGTGTCCCATGGCACCCCATGGTGTCCCACAGCACCCCACGGCACTCCACAACATCCCACAGCCCCCTGCGGTGTCCCATGGCACCCCACAGCATCCCACAGCCCCCTGCGGTGTCCCATGGCCCCCCATGGTATCCCACAGCATCCCATGGCACCCCACAGCACCCCACGGCACTTGACATCACCCCATGGCACCCCAGAGCACCCCATGGCATCCTGGAGCACCCCATGGCACCCCACAGCATCCCACAGCCCCCTGCGGTGTCCCATGGCAACCCACAGCATCCCGCAGCGCCCCACGGCGTCCCACAGCACCCCACACCCATGGATGCCCCGTGTCCCTGAGCACACCCTGAACCCCCAGCCCACGGCCACCCCACACTGTGCCCACAGATGTCCCACGCACCCCACCACCCCCCGCCACCCCATAGCACCCATCACCCCACGCCCACGGGCAGCCCGGGGGTACCCATCACCCCCAACCCAGTGACATCCCACCAGC